GAATTCTTAAAATTTCTTGGACCGAACATTCAAGCGGAAGTTCTTGGACAGCTGAACAAAGATCGGGAACTGTTAACCACCATGAAGGCCAGAAAAGTTAGCTACTTCGGACACATAATGCGTGGCGCCAAATATTATATTCCTCGTTTGATTATTCAAGGAAAAGTCGAAGGGAGAAGATGGGTAGGTCGAAAGAAACTGTCATGGCTCAGAAATATACGGAACTGGACCGGTCTGGGGGTGGAGAGGCTGTTTCATGCAGCAGAAGAGAGAGAACTCTTCCACGAAATAGTCATGGAGATCGCCAACGTCTGAAGACAAGCACGGCACCGCAAGAAGAAAGTTTTTGACATGAGAAATTTGATTTTGATGTCAATAAGCTTCCTAATGGAAAAGGTTAATTCACGAGCGATGAAACCGCGAGGGAATTAATTTCGGGAGACGATAATACAATTTTATCGTCGTGTATAACACAATATTTTTTTCCATAGCGAGTTACGTTTTAAAAAATGTTCAGAAATTATTATTTAAAGGAATCTATTACGAGTAGATAAAATATCGTGCTGGGTTGGCGTTGGTTTCTATGTAATTTGACAAATAAATATAAAGCTGTCTTTTTAGTTGTCAGTTTTGAGTCAATATTTTTTAATTCTCTTTCGTGTCGATTGCTGATTGAATTGGAGCCAGAAATGGCTCAAAACGAATTAAGTAAATTACCAACAGATATTCAGGCTGAGGCGACAAACGCCATATCCAAACTACTTCCATTTAAATCCCAAATAAGTTATGAAAAGGAATACAAAAGTTTATAGGAATAAGGAATACAAAGAAGAAATAAAGTTTTTAACCTATCCTCGCTGTTAAAGTAGCATTTAATCTACCCTTGCGGTTAAAGTACCGTATGATCGAGAAAAAACGGCGTCATCGATGGCTATGAAATGAAGATCGCTGTTATTTTATATGTAAATTTATATGGGAAATGTCATCGATCGTCATTTCCCAACCAACTTGACGACATTTTTTTTCGATCATACGGTACTATTTTAACTATTTTTGATAGATATAAGGCAATTTTAACAGTTGCTATGAAACAAATACCTTTAATAGAATTTCAGATACGACAGAGGATTGAAAAAACATTTTGTGCATATTCATCCTGTTATATTTTAAGAATAATGTGCTCTTGTAATACTTTTTGAAAAAGGGAAACTTTCATTCGACAAAACTTTTAATTCGATGAGTTAACGAATGAATCATGACGCAGCAAACAGCCCGAAAACTTCACCTTTTAATAAAACTAAAGAAAAGCTGGAGGAAACTTCTTAGCAAGGTACATTTCATTAATTTTCAGTTATAAGATAAATGAAAGCTGTCAACTTCAAGCTGTTTTTCAAATTGAAATTGTAAAGAGCGAATCACAATAGACTCGGTAGACAACTTTATCAGCAAATTGTAACAAAGGCAGACTTCTTATTTTATTTAAAATAAATTATAATCTGTGTTTAACAGAGAGTGTCTTATTTTATTGAATATATAACTACTGTATAAAAATAATTATTTTTAAGTTAAACAATAATAGAACTGTAAATGAATTTTAGGAAAGCAATATTTTGTTAAGAAGAATTTCTTTTCTTATTTATCTCAAAATTTAACATTATTTCATCCCAAAACATTTTTATAAAGAAATGCAAATCAGGTACAGACAAATTATAATAAGAAATATTTGTAATAACAAGGGTTAAAATAATTTATAAATTAAACAGATATTTTTCAAGTTCAATTATATTTGTAAACGTTAGATTTTTATTGGATTTTCAAGCCTCCGTTTTGCCTGTGATTGGTGTCATTTTATATTTTCATTTTCGTAACGATTTCGCTGTTTTGCTTATAGCCTAAGCGCTAGCAACGTTTTTAAGAGAGAATTTTAAGAAAGTTGGTTCTTAATATATCTTTTGCTATGCTCTCCTGGACAGGGGGGACTGTCTGACTGCCGGTAGACATTGCGTTCACTATTGCGCATAAAACTCTGTATTCAACATCTGTTCACAACTGCGCATCACAAATTCGCCCTGTATTTCAGGAACTAAAGAGGCTAGACAAACCTATGTGTAGCATATTCAGTTTTATAAAAAAAAGTAGCAAAGTAATATGAAAATCGCGTCATTTTATATCTACTTATAAACCAGAAATCTCGTAAAACACACGAAAATGGGATACCCGGTACAGATGTGATGAGCATTAGTGAACCGCATTAGTCTACCGGCAGCCAGACGGTCCGCACTCTGATCAGGAGAGCGTAGCAAAAGATATATTGAAGAACCAGCTTTCTTAAAATTCTCGTTTTTCCGACGGTGCTAGCTCTTGTACCATTATATTTTTAATAAGGTTAGATTAAATTTGTCAAAAATGTGTCAAAACGTCCGTTATCGTACGATCTTTCTCCGTTGACGGGCTGGAGCAAAAAATTTACGAATAAAAAGTGGCGCGAAAACGCTATGATCAATCAGAGCGCAGCGCCGCACCGTCGCACAGTGCTTCGTCCCATGGACAAAAATCGAAAAAAAAAAGTTAAAATTTACTAATATCTGAATATGTAATTTTATACTTATAGCAATGTTCAACCATCCTGTATATTATTTTTCATAAACAGTGATGTTTGTTAGCAAATATTTTCACTAAAAATAAATTTTGCGATCATTATCTTATCAGTGAAAAGAATAACATTAATAGTAGTTCTGTATATTATAGAGTTAAACGGTAGGTACTTAATTGAAAGCCACTATGGATATTGTCAAACAGGGTATATACTTTAAATTTATTTCTAAACAAGTTCGTGATTGTTTAGTTTTTATTTATTTTTTAAGATGATTCTTAAATGGGTATAAAAATTTTACGTTTTCAAACTTCAAAAAGGCATTTAAAAAACATATCAAAACATATCGTATTTATTGAATATTTTTGTTGTCGTATTCATACACTTTTAATTTTTGTATAGTTCACCTGCGTCTGCTTGCGACGAACTTTATTTTATAATACTTTTCAGATGGAGTAAAATTGATAAGCAATGTCTCTCGTTAATACTTGGCTTGATCATAAGAACTCAAAATTATTTTTATTTAAAAAAATGTGTTCTTGATTAGATATTGATGAACCTTCCAGTCAAATGAGACACACTTGTGCCTGAAAAAGCCCACTATGTCGGAGCGAAACGTCCCATAAAAAAAGTTTCCATTTTTCAATTTATTATAAAACCTCATACCCATGAAAAGGAAAAAATAATATATGGATATGGTCTATTAAAGAGGTAACTATTAACATCCGAACCCCTCATACCAACAAAAAGAACAGTAACAACGCGAAAAAGTAACATATTAGAAAATGATGTACCGAAATATCTTATATGTGAGGATACTTCATCTACCTGTGATTTGGATACTATACATTTGGAAAATTCTGTCAGCAGTGATTCTTCTGAATCAGAGTAGTTACGATCTATGCATTTTGTTGTCCTAAAGTAAATTTATAGTATCTTAAGTTTTTTTTTAATTAAATATAACATTAATGTTTCTTTTTCATTAAAGAAAAACATTGTAGGAATCATGTTCTAATGTTATTTCAATTCTTTTTTATCACAGGGATTTATTTAATACTTACACCGCTTTCATACTATAAATTATTATTTCCTTAGATGGAACACAGCTCCAACATTTTTATTATTTATAAGATTTTTTTTCATAAACGTGGGACTAAGAACATCATCATTTAGTACAACGAGAGTACTCATCATTTGTGTCAAATAAACCTAGTTTGAATACATTGCCTACACTAAAAGAGAAGTTTTTCATTTTTGTCCTCTAGAGCCATATGTTCGAAGCACTGTGCGTCGGACCATCGTATCAACGGATAAAGGCTGATTCATGGTACACCGGGCCGTACCCGAGCCGGGCACGTTCCGTGCAGTAGACACCGGGCCACGTCCGGGCCTTCAATATATGCTACACCGAGTGGACAACGGGGATCGTGTCCGTGCCGATTATATTCTAGAAAACAGTGTTGCCGCAGTGGTATATTTGTACCAAATTTGATACTTTTAATTCTATTTGGTACAGTGGTACTACATTGTCAAATCCAGGATGATTTGGTACAATAATTATTTCCCACGCGCACCGAAAATAAATAGATATTTAATAATTATTGTCGTTGATATTGCATTAAACGCTTACCGATACCATTCGGAGACAATCCACATTAATTAACGACGTATTATAAACGTTGTAATGTCTATAGCGTTGCCTATATTAAATAACCCGAAGAAAAAACTTGAAAATTTGCTGTTTCTAACATGCTTCTATATTTGTGTTTTTTTTTAATAAAATTTAAGTTTTCCAAGTATTGTGTGTAGTATTAGAATTACTTAGATTTCTTCAACCTATACATACTTATAATTGGGTTTTCTGAATTTCTATTTCATGTTTTTCGTCTCGATTTGTGTCTTTCTCCAGGAAGTTTTTTTATGTAGAAATTTATGAAGAAATTCACAGCGACCAAACCGGTTAAAGTCATTTGCAGATGTATTTTGTTGTGCTTTAAAGAATTGTACCAAAGTGGTACATTTTTAGTTTATAATGTGGTACGCGCTAAAAGTTGGGTGCGGCAACACTGCTAGAAAACAGTCGCTATAGGCCCGTAGACGAACGAAGTATTTAGCCCGGGCGACTCATTTATGTTTGCCGCAACGGGGCCGGACCGTAGCGGATCCGAGGAAAAATGTACACCGACATTTCTCGGACGGAGCACGAACGGGTTCCGGCGAAGCTCGGCCCGTGCTCGGCTTAGCATGAATGCATAGGTATAAATAACATTTGACAATGTTTGGCCGTGCGTTCACCGTCGCACGGCCCCGGCCCGTCACGGTGTACCATGAATCAGCCTTAAGGGACGCATGATAATCAAGCTTCATAGACGGACTATATTCCAGGTTTCTTTTTTCTCTGTTCTAGGGTGTTCCTTCCACGGCTCACCGCTTCTCCTTGTTCCGCACCTACTGGCTGGTGTGGGCTGTGTTGTTCCAGGCGGCCGTCCACGTGGATTCACCCCGCGGGTTCACCTCCCGCTTCATGACCAACGTGTGGGCAATGTTCGCCGTCGTCTTCCTCGCTATCTACACTGCCAACCTGGCCGCCTTCATGATCACCAGAGAGGAATTCTTCGAATTTTCTGGTAAAACGATTGTTCCCCATACAGCACATCAAATCACATTTACGATGTGTATACATTATTAGATGCAGACACAGGGTGACACAATTCCCCCGATGTAAATATGCTACGTTTACACATTGTAGTTCAACACGTATGCACAAAGGTTAAACGTCCGCCTCACAAAGTAGCCACAGTATAGCATTTACGTATACACAAAGTGAGGGATACACAGTGTGTCGTAGGATACACAGTGCTTGTGTATTACGTTTAAACTCTGTTTACACATTGCAGTTGTGACTACCGCGTGTATACGTATGTATTTTGCTTCGTATATACAGGGTGGCGCCTCTCATACGCCGCGGAAGATCCAAAGAGAACGGTAGTTTATATCGAAATGAAATTTTGGCAGCATATGTATGTCAACTGAAAGCATTTTATAAAAATATAGAATTATACAGGGTGTCCCCAAAAAAGTTACACCTCAAAGATGTGTTTTCTAATGGAACACCCTATATATTAATTGATTTTTTGGATTCTAGGAAAAAAATAAAGATGAGTTTTATTAAAGAAGCATATACCTAAAATCTAAAAATTTTGACATATTTCACATTTTCTGAAAATGAAGAGTAAATTTTAAATTTCGACAACAGCTACCTAAATTTTAGTTGACCTCGTATAGCCTGATATTTAATTACAGTAACCATTGTATGTTAAACCAAATTGAAATTTGACCCGAAAAGTTATACCGGGTGAGACAAAATTAATATGGAACCTTAAAATATGGAACCAAAATTAATATGGAACCAAAATTAATATTAGTTCTTTAAAAAACCAAGTTACTCCTTTATTTTAAATAGAACACCCAGTATATTTTTCCGGTGTTAAATGGGGAATTTATATATCTTCAAAATTAAAATTAAGGTTGCCTACCCCTCAGACAAAGATTTTCCTATATATTTTAATTTTTATAATTTTGCGTCAGTAGATCTTTATTATTTGAAAAAATCTAGGTGGCTGTGTAATATATCTTTTGTTAATTTAACAAACATTAAAGATTGTAACGTAAAATACTCAAAGGTAATAAAACGATACACGTTTAAAACATATTTTAATTAGTACAGAATTAAAACTAGAGATATATAATTTTGGCAAGGTCAAGCCCTAGATATCATTTACTTGGCCCATACTCTTATTTTGTTGGCACTTAGCCTGTTTTAGCTGCCCTTATCAAACAAAATAATAAGTAAAATTTAAACATAGAATGTAAAAAATACTTAGTCTCGCAGTGTTGTGAGATCGTATTTTGCAAAACCAAGTTATTTATTTTGTTTCGTTTCTATGGAAGTATTTATTCAACAACTTTGTTATACACACACCGGAAAAATCTAGGGATATAATTTTATTAAAGTTAAAAATAAATGTTTTGAATAAACAACCACATATTTGTAGGCCGATTCTTTCTACTTCGATTGAAACGAAGTAGTCACACTAGTTATTTCTAAATTTGGGATATTTGCAGAAGTGTTTGTGCATTTTTTGTCAAATGTATAGAAAGCACCTAGCATCAATTGTTCGAATTTAACCTGTACTGGCTATGTTTTTATGATAACTGGCCAGAATTCATTCAAATAACTCTGTTTAGTATTAAACGACATTATGGAGCGTAGACATCTTAACAGAGACGAAATGCTAAGGGCCATGGGTATGCTCGATGCTGGAATGCGCCAAATCGACGTAGCTAGAGCATTAAATACAACGCAAAGTGTAATATCGCGATTAAGTGCACGCTACCGTGAAAGTGGTGATGTTGCTGACAGGCACACAGGGCGACATCGCATTACTACCCCACAGCAAGATCATTTTTTACAATTAAATGCTCGACGCCGACCGACTCTTATAGCACCAGAGCTTAGTTTAATTCTCCAGGAAACACATAATGTAACCGTTAGTGCTGACACTGTTCGCAATAGATTAAGAGAGGTCAACTTAAGAAGCAGACGCCCCTGGAGAGCTCAACCCTTAACGAGAGGAAATCGAGAGGTACAATATTTGTGGGCTCAAGATCATGTTCAGCGGTCGAATGAACAATGGGCCAATGTTCTCTTCACGGATGGTTCACGCTTTGGAATTCATCCAGATTCGAGAAGGCTTAGGGTATGGAGAGAACCGGGAAATCTTATTCGGTTGGATCATGTTCAGGAAGTGCACCCTTATCAAGGTGGAACAGTTATGGTCTGGGGAGGAATCCAGTTAGGCCGAAAAACCGATCTCGTTTTTCTTGAAAGGTTTCTAACAGGAATCACATATCGTGATTTAATTCTTGAGCCTGTCGTATTACCGTATGCCAATGATTTTGGGAAAAACTTCATTCTTATGCATGACAATGCACGGCCTCATACAGCCAGAGTGGTAAGTGAGTTTATCAATGCTCATCAATAAACATCTTACCCTGGCCGGCACAATCTCCTGACCTCAACCCCATCGAGCACGTATGGGACGCGGTCCAAAGAAGAATTTTGAGAATGGATATTCTTCGTGAAACTCGTAGGGATCTGATTCGGGCCGTGAATGCAGCGTGGCAGGCTGTACCTCAAGAAGAGATCGACAACCTGATCAGGAGCATGGAGAGACGATGTAGGGCTGTAATGAATAGTAGAGGAGGCCATACCCTTTATTAAATAAAAATGGTTTTATCTTTTTTTTTTTAATTCACAGTTTAGAATTAAAAAAAATTGTGTATTTTTCTGAATTCAATAAATATCAATATAAATTTGGAAATTTCGGTAAATTTCGCATTTTTATTTCCAATACGTCCTGTAAACTATTTGTTTATTTTAATTTTATTATATCAGAAATGCAAATAATAAAATTACTGACGATGGCTGGATAAAATTATAATATCCCTAAACTTTTCCGGTGTGTGTAGCTTGTGTGATTAAAACAATAATCAACTATTCCAGCTACTAAGTAAATCTAAACAGTGCACTTAAGAATAAAGTATTCTAGTTAGTAAAATATGATACCGTGCAAATGCAGATCAACACTGTTCAATTGGAGCGATTTTGTATGTGTTTGTCCTTTATTTTACTCAATGCTTTTTATTTAACGACTGGCTTTAATGGACCCTTAATATCATAGTTTAATATTGCAGTGGCTTCAAATATTCGTCAAATATTTTTATATCATGCAAGAAAAATATTCCCAGACAAAAAAGAACACAGAATAGCTATTATTATATTAAAGGCCCCTTAAAAGGGTCTAATTTTTACCCGCCCTTTTTGTATTCTACCATAAAATTTCGTCGAATATTGTGTTTACTGAAGGCGGGACACTGTTTGATCCCAGAAAAAAAGCTGTTATTAATTTTTCCCTTGTTCCCTCTTTTAGGTTTTTCTTCTTTTTCCAGCATTTTCTATTCAATTTTTTTCGGAAATTATATGTACATAACAAGATTGTCCCTTACTTTCATATTTATTTGTTTAAAAAAACTTAAATATAAATATTAAGATATTTTTGTATACTACACTGGTCTCCACATAATGTTTTACTGGATTACTTGATCTAATTCAACTCATGCACTTTTTTTTAAGTGGTATAAACAATAGTTATTAACGTAATAAGGCCGATAAACAACAAATAACGGCCGGGCTGAAGTTTGTGATCCGAGGCCATAGCCGAGGATCATAAGCAGCCAAGGCCGTTATTTGTTATCGGCCGTGTTGCGTTCTAGATTTTTCGTCATACTGCAGATTTTTTAGAGCAATAAACACTACTATTTAATAACAAATTTTATTGAACAATAACACAAGTAAGGATAAAAAATACATAATGTCTTATACTAAAATTCATTTTTCATGATAATGAACATGGAAATTAAAAGTGCACTTGTTGTTCTTAGAAATCTGTAATCCTTCCCAGGGATTTACAGATTTTATAGAAGAAGATGATGCTACTGAAGAATGGCAAATATTTGTATCCACTAAAGACACATTATTTTTGGAGCTATCATGAAAAAAGTTGATTTGTTATTTTCATTCTTTTGGAAACTGATTTTTCTATGTAAGTTTCTGCCACTGTTGAAGACTCCCATCCTCCTAGCTCCTTTAGCGATAGTAAATCACCACCATTTTCGGCGAGCATGGTTGCTGATGATCTACGAAATGAATGCCCTGTATAACGTTCTGGATTCTCCAAGTTCAAAAAATTTTGCAATTTTCTGCGGTACGCTCCCGATGGTATGTATACCGACGATTTGCTTAACACACTTGCCTTTCTTGTAACCAATGAAAAATTTTGGATTGTCAAAGTTACGAGGACGCAGGTTGATGTATTTTTTGTATAAACCATAGGCATCAAACGGAAGGCCCGTTTTGGAATAAGAAATTTCCTATCTTTCTTATTTTTAGTATTTCTTAATGAGACAAGAATATTTTTCTCCGAATCTTCGAAATCATCAACTGTGAGTGACCAAAGCTCGCTGCGCCTACAAGCTCCAAGAATACCAAGCACCAATACAATTTTTCGAGTAACCAGGTGTAATCATCGGCATCCAGTAGAAAATTATTTATGTCATTCTCCGACAGAACTTTGGCTTTTTTGGTGAATAACCTTCGTTTTTGCGCCTCAGAAACATGAACAGTTTACCAAATCTATGAACAAATATAATTTAGATGAGTATGATTAAATATCGAAGAATATAATGGCTTTTTACCTTGATATGTCGATGTTTTCATATACTCTCAAACGCAAGCTTCAGCATGGATATCTTTGTCCACAGTGATGTAGGAGAATACATTTCAGACATTCTTTTAGCATAAGCCAGCAATACCGCTTCATTTACGCTGTTTATACTTCTATCCTGCCGCCACTTCAAAAAATTGTCATATTCCTGATGATATCTCTCTCTGGTTATAGTCGGAAGTAAATTTTGAGTAGCCGCAGCCGCTTCTTCCTGTATTTCCAACGGAATTTCTCGCGACATCTCGCTATGGTCTATTTTCCCAATTTTTGAAAAGTCCAACTGACAATAAATAGTCATTGTTGCAGGTGACAGACGTTACGATTACCTTAGAAACTTAACGGCCGCCGGCCGTTATGATAACGTCCGGCGGACGTTATATGCATCTTTTCCATTCTGATTTTGCTTATGTTATAATAATATAACAATATAGTATGACGAAAAATAAATATAATTAGACGTTCTTAGATATCTGTCAAATTTGATATCACAAACATTCCTCTCCTTCGGGAGAGGTTGCCTACGCATTTAACAGAGTGTATTTAAAAAAAATATACAGGGTGTCATTGAAATGGTGTAAAAAGGGGTGGTAGTACTCCTAAAAATAGTAAAAAAAGTTCCTATAAGTATAGGGCGGAAAATGCATATTAAGGGAGTTAGGGACACTGAAAGGGTGAATTTAAAAAACGGTTGTTTTGAACTATGAGTACTATCACCCCATGATTTCTTTTACACCATTTCAATGACACCCTGTATAGTTAAAATTAAATTATTTAAAATTTTAAAAACTTCAAAAAATCTAATTATGAGTCTTGAACCTTACGAGTCCTTTAAACTAAGATTTATTTTTTAAAAAATAGTTTGGATAAAATAACGTACACTTTGTTTCGTGGGGATTTCGAAGTTAAATTTTTATATCGCAATTTTAAGTTACACAAACATTTTTTAATAGCTGTTTGGGGAAATATTGAGCTACTTTTCCTTTTTGCTTAAAAATTTCTACGACACGTCTTGTAAGCGCCTTGGGGTTGTTGAAAGTTAAGATTTTTACGGTTTATTGAAAAACTTTTAATGAGATAAAAGACATCTGTGAGGTATGAGGTTAAGGAACCCTTGCGGAATATGGAAAATATCAGTTTTCCTTTAAATATTATCAATGTCATTTTGGAGAAGCTTCACAACATTTTTCCGTGTAATTACTAACTTTACTTAACTCTTAAACATATAAATAAATTTTCCTTTAGTTATACAGACCGGACCACCGTAGTAGTAACATAGGCAAAACCGGACGAATTAGCGTATACCCGTCTGCCGGATAAAAAGCAGGCGAAAAATGCGATAAAATAAAAATAGGTAGAATTTGTATTTATTCGTGTTTTAATAGCCAAAACGAATACATAGATTCTCGCGACAGTTCTCGTGTAAAATTTATTTTTTAAGTAAAATAATGGATGTTTACGAAGTTCGTGAGAAAATTCAAATTGTAAAATGGTATTTCCAAAATAGGTCTTATCAGGATATACATACAATTTTTCCACAAACTTTTGTAAACAGGCCAATTCCATCTTTACCTACTGTATCAAGAGTTATTAATAATTTTAAAACACATGGGTGCGTGTTCCCACAAAAACACAAAAAGCCTGATGTGTGGATTAATGAAGAACAGGAGTTAAAGCAAGTGTTCATTTGAGCTACCGCGGATCAAAATCCCACGTTTTCAAGTAATCAAATTGCTGAGGTTGTTGTCCTGCCCACAATGCCCGTAGTGTTCACGAATATTTGAACAATACTTTTCCCAACCGTTTAATTAGTAGATATGGAACTATTTTGTGGCCCACTAGATCACCAGATCTTTCTCCCAGTGACTTATTTTTGTGGGGTTATGTAAAATCCAAAGTGTATGGTCATAATAGGGCTAATAATCTGAATGAGCTTCAAGTAAAAATACGAGAGGCTTTCCAAACTATTAGCCCTAATATGTTAGCCAATTTCAGACGGGGATTTTACGACCGCCTAGGCTTCTGTCTAGCACAAGAGGATGGTCTTTTTGAACACTTGCTATAACTTTTTTTTTATTTAGAGTAATATTTTAGTTTTTTTTTGGTTTAGAGAATTTATTTATTTTTAGTTTTGGCTTGTAAACACACTCAAATGATAAATATTTAAGTATTTTCATTTTAAATGTTACCTTAAGTGAAGGTAAACACTTAAAATGAAAATAATAAATACACGGCACTCCTCGCGTGTTCCTAGTATACATATTCCTAGTTTGTCACGACCGACCCGTCCAAGCACAACTGCAACTGCGTACTGCCTGACCAGCCGACTAGCCGGCAGTGAATCTCGGATACGAACGCAAAACGGGTAAAGGTAAATTCGTCCGGCAACTTGCTATGTTACTAGTAGACTGGTCTTCTCTGTATGTACGTAACGATTCTTCTTATAATAGTTATAGGTTACAATGTTTTTCTTTGTCTGTTTAGGAATTGATGATCATCGATTATGTAGACCGTACTCCCACAAGCCTTCAATTAAGTTCAGTACTATCCCTTGGTCTCATACAGACTCAACTTTAGCCAAGTACTTCAAGGAGATGCACGCCTACATGCGTCAATTCAACAAAACCCGAGTACTTGATGGAGTTGCCGCCGTACTATCAGGTGAAATGGACGCATTTATCTACGATGGTACCGTTTTGGATTACTTGACGTCTCAGGATGAGGATTGTAGACTACTTACAGTAAGTACACAGATCAACAAAACTCACCTTCTTAGCAGCACTTAAGGGACATAATAGTCTAAGAGCTGGCTACATAAAAAACCTTATCATCGTTACATGGCTAATTTTTGTGTGAAGTATCCTTTTGTGTAGCTATTATGAAATAGTCATGTCTGCCAGCGCGATCCCGGGGCTAAAAGGGGGGGGCGGCCAATCGAAAGGGTGAAATTTGGACACTAAAAATATTATAAGGTACACGAGTTATACGAGCCCTAACAACTATTATGTTGGGACAAGGTGTTTTTTGCAATAAAAATAGTAATTTGTTAAAACGACTCAATTTATTTTGTTTATTATTCTAAATTCAAACATTACAATATAATCTAGACAATTTTACTACATTTTTATAACTTTGCAAACAAATCACTTTTGATAATAGCTTATTTTGCCAAAATCAAGCCAAATTTGCTGGCAACTATATATTCGGACAGCACAACAAGAAATTTGTTTAATACGGAGTTACATCACCTTTCGCCTTAACGACTGCCTGAACTCTTAATGGCATTGTATTTACCAAAGATTGACATATTTGAGGAGAAAAATGATCCCAAATTTCCTGCAGTTTTGCCCACAAATCAAAAATTGTTCGTTGAGGGTGGTTTCTTAAATATTGCTTCATTTTATGCCACACAGTTTTCTATAACATTGAGGTCCGGACTACTTGCAGGATGGGATAGAACTTTTATATTATTATTACTGAACCAATTTTTAGTTGATTTTGGTGAATGGTACAATGCTCCATCTTGTTGGAAAATATAGTTTTCGTTTGGAAACAATTCTTGAACACTAGGCAAAAGTGAGGTCCCAAGTATATGTTGATATTTTTGGGCGTTAACAGTGCCATCTATAAAATTTAATTTGCCCAAACCTCTTGCTGACATGCAACCCCAAACCATAATCCCCTTAGGAAATTTAACAACCCTCTTTAAGCAATCTTTATGAAAGGCTTCTGCTTTATTTCGTATTATGCGTTTTCGATGATCTCCAACGCAAACATCAAATTTAGACTCATCGCTAAATATGACCTTATTCCAATCATTTTGTGTCCACGATAATTTAGATTTTGCCCAATTGTAGCGATTTTTCTTCTGAATTTCTGTCAGTAGCGGTTTTTCTTTGGCCTAAATGAGAATTTGTATCAATAATCTTCAGGTAATTGATTATCCACACAAAATAAAGTTTACCTTGTAAAACCCCAGACCGCATTTATGGATATATTTTCGGCAACATTTTCTTGATATATTTAATCCAGTTACAGTATTCCATTTGACTGTTACTTCGCGAAGAGTACTTCTTCTCGCAGATTTGCAAATTTTTACTAAATTTCGTAAATCTCTTTGAGATATAAACTTTTGGCCTTCCCGAACTTTTACCTCTAACGTCCACATTGGCAGATTCGCCGTATTTTTTTATTATATTAAAGACCGTGGTTTTTGGAATACTTAAATCATCAGAAATTTTTCGAATTGTTTTTCCCGTACTGTATTGACGGGAATATTTCGCGTAGTTTTTGATTTGTAGCTTTTTCACGGACCATTACTTTGAACTAAATAATTAACAAAATTCAAAATTAAAAAAATTAAAATTACTCACAGTAAGTCTCACTACTCAAAGTATCGAGTCACTTAGAAGCTGTCAATGCTGTAGTAAACAGTTTGCGACATTTGTGACGTGTATAGCAAAGCCGCCTATGATGATATTAATTATTTAAAAATATTTGTCCCAACATTTAGTTGTCAGCAAATTTGTCCTTTTATAAACAAAATCCGCTACTGTAAATATGGATTGATTTACAAATTCATAAAAATATTGTCAAGTTGTTTAGGATATATGGCTATGATTATATTTAAAAAATTAAACATATATTTTTCAGTCATTTTGAAAAACCAGAGCAATAATTCCAAAATATGACCTTGTCCCAACATATAGTTGTTAGGGCTCGTAATTGCGAAAATAGCTTTTATTTATTATTAAGAAACGTGGAAAATTGTTGGCAGCCATTTTTCTGGTCGCTAAAATGCCGACAGACAACGCGAAAGAGGCATGAAATTTCAAAAATGATCTCAAAAATTATTAAAAAATTATATTTGAAGAATGAAAAAAATATGGCATACATGCATGCCGATTGGTGGAATGTCATAGTTATTTATTTTAAAAGCCCTGTGCAAAAGGGCAGACAAAAAAGCTGCAGACAGTTATCAAAAGCGCGATATTACTCTAGCGCTTTCAGGGAACGCTCGCCGCATCGTTCATTTAAGTATAGATAAATCATGTATACGATTATATTATAAATATATTTTTTTATTATTTCAAAACAGATATCATACATTTACTATTCTGCCTCATTATTTGTATCTGACTCATCGTACTGCAGATCCCTGCTCTCACAAACGAGTCTTCCTCTGAGTCGATATCTGCACCGTAAAATTTTTATAGACTCACAGGTATTATGTTTCAATTGATAACGCGGCCAGCGTTTCCTGAAAACGCTTATACAGGGTGAGTCTTAAATAAGTGAAAATACTTTTAAGGGTGATATACTTCGACCCCAGGAACACGTCTAAGATTATTTTTTCGCAAAAAAAGATGTAGAAAATCGTGCATTATTTTTAAATTTCCCTGTATATTTTAGGAAACTTTTTAGAACTGCCTGTTCACCGCAAATTTACGAACGGTATAATTATTTCTTAACCTATGGCTATGACACTAAAATAATGGATGCAAGTACAGAAAAAAACAAGTGTGTCACAAAATTATTTAAAAATAAATCAATTTTTTTAATTCAAACTTGAGTAACTCGGTTATTTTGGACTTATTTGGAAAACCGTCAAAAGAAAATATGTTTCTTTTATCGAGATCTACCAGCTCTGAAAATATTTGCACTTATTCAAGATTCACCCTGTAAAGTAATATCGCGTTTTATATAAGTGTCTACCGCTGATTGAGCTACGATTTTTTTGTTTGTCCTTTTGCATACGGCTTTTTAAATAAATAAACATGACATTCCACCAATCGACATGCATGTAGGCGATGATTTTTTTGTCAAATTCCATGCCTCTTTCGGGTTGTCTGTCGGCATTTTAGCCACGAGAAAAATGCCTGTCAACAATTTTACGCGTTTCTTAATAATAAATAAAAGCTATTTTCGCAATTATAACACGTGTACCTTAATAATATTTTTAGTGTCAAAATTTCAGCCAATTGATGAAATATAGCTTATACATCAGAATAAAATATAGGCCATAATTTATAAAGATAATATAAAAAAGATAAAAAGATAAATAGCAGGAGAGCAATAAAATATCACACTATTCGGTTAAACATTATCAAACGACTATCTTTATTCATGGACTATCAATTACAACTAGACACACATAATAGCAACTTTCAAATATTGCCACTAGGTGCTATAATAAATATTACTCTTTATATCTATATATACAATAAAAATCATTATTTATTTATTTATTATTATATTAGAAAAATTCGAATTTTATGCGGACGAAGTCGCAGGAAAAACTAATATCTATACTAATATACAGGCTGTCCCAGAAATAAGTGCAAATATTTTAAGGGATGATAGAGCTGGTCAAAAGAAACATTTTTTCTCTTTACTGTTTTTCAAATAAGTTCAAAATAACCGAGTTATTTTACTTTGAAAATTTCCAAAAAAAATCATTTTTTGCTAAAATTTTGAGAACCACTGGATCTTTTCTGGATTTTCTTTCATCTAAATTTAAGCTACTACCTATGTTGCCATATTATCAAGAAATTATGTTTTTTAACTTAAAATTAAAAAAAAATCCAAATTTTTTTTCAAAAAGTTCCAAATTTTCAATTTTTTTTTTGCAAAAAATACCTCATGGGCGTGTTTCTGAGGCCGAAATATACTACTAGTTAAAATATTTGCACTTATTTTTGGGACACCCTGTATAAAATCCTTATGTGACTGACTCACTGATTAATCACGATCCTGCTCAATCAAACCACTCAACGTAAAAAGCTCAATTTTGGCATACAGGTTGATTCTAGGGTGTAGAGGTTCGATAAGAAGGGATTTTTCGAAATTCCTGTTCCAAAAGGGTGAAACCATCCCTCAAATATTACAATATTTTTTATTTAAAAAACGGTCAAGTTTCTGAAAAAACGCTTAAACACGTATATTTTATTTTGTTTTTTTTTACATATTTCAAGATTTTTTTAAAATGTATACAGGGTGTTTCGAAAAATCTGGTCATTGATTAATCACGATCCTGCTTAAAGCGCTTGACGTAAAAAGCTGATTTTTGGAAAATGGATTGATTTTAGGGTGAAGAGGTTCGATAAGAAGGGATTTTTCGAAACTCGAATTCTAAGGGGGTGAAACCACCCCTCAAATATTAGAATATTTTTTATTTAAAAACCGGTGAGTTTTTCGGAAAAACTCTTAAACACGTATATTTTATTTTGTTGTTTTACATATTTTAAAAATTTTTAAAAATTTATACAGGGTGTTTCACAAAATATGACCATTGAGTAATCACGATTCTGCTTAAACTGCTTGACGTTTAAAGCTGATTTTTGGCAAACGGATTGACTGTGGGGTGTAGAGGTTCGATAAGGAGGGGTTTCTCGAATCTCAAACTCCAAGAGGGTGAAAACGCCCTTCAAATATTACAATATTTGTTATTTAAAAAACGGTTAGTCTTTCGGGAAAACGCTTGGACAAGCATAATTTATTTAGTTTTCTACATATTTTGAAATTTTTTAAAAACTCATACAGGGTGTTCCAAAAAGTTGGGTAATTTCTTAACCACGATTCTGCTAAACTGCTTGACGCAAAAAGCTTATTTTTGGCAAACGGATTTTTCGAAAGTCAAATTCCAACGAGATGAAAGTACCCCTCAAATATTACCAAGTTATATAATAATATCGCCATATTGGTTTTTCTCATGCTGACATAAATGTGAGAAAAATTGATA